TTGTTGTTGTACTCATGTTTTCATTTATTGTTGTGTTTTTGTTGCTGCAATCGCGTAAACAAGATATACATTTGTTTGATTATGATTTCGGCATTTAAAGCCCTCGAAATCTACTATTAACAGGTGCCGTGAAATTCGAGCCCCGATAGAAGAGACATAGATAGAAATAAAATAGGGAATTATTAAGTTTTGATTTTATTTGTTTGTTCACGAATTTCGATGAAAAAAAGTAATTAAAGTAAAAGAGAATAAAAATCATCATGAACTCTCATTAGAATGAATTCCAAATACTGTGCATCCTAGTCAGCATTCATGAAATTCGCCGAGTCCGAGACTTTGAACAATATTTAAGATACTACTCTTATTCAAATGTATAATATAACGTCTTGTAGGGCAATTTAGCATCAGATTGTCTATAAGTAAATACGTAGTGCAAAACATATATCACTAAAATGGTACGAACTCAACGCAGTGTACAGGGTTAGAGCAGTACTGCTCAAACCCGTGTGCTAGCTAGAGAATATTTGAGAGAATTTAATATTCTGTTTTTTTTTTTTTTTTTGTGTATTCTACGATTTAGTTTTAAATATGAAGTTGGTCCAAATTTTAAATATGAAGTTGATCCAAATGTATTAAATAAGTTATTTTCTGTCATTTTTCTTTGAAAATGAATAAAGAATAGCCGTCACGTTATCCATGTTGAACGAATTTTTGTTCACAAAAATTGAAGAGGACGACATTGGCAACAACAGGAAGTCTCTAAGTGCCAGTAACAGAAGCTACATTCGGAGTTATGTGCCTTGTTTTTAAAGATCACATTAATAGCCGCAGAGCTGATGTCGGTTGGCCGCCTCGGAGCTGCGATTTGACGGTGTTGGACTATAATTTTGGGGTGCTGTCAAAGATATATGTTACGCCAACAAGTCAGATGCAAATGACGCTTTAAAGGATAAAATCCGTGAAGCTATCGGTAAATACAGCAGCACACAATCGATAATATGCTTAAAAATTTGACCGATCATGCAGCATGGCCAAACAAGGCAATCATTTGAATGCAATTATTTCCCATAAAAATTCACATGAACATTTTTCTTATACGCATTAATATGTCATTGCGAAATCGCGAAAAAAAAAATGGCGAAAACTACGGGGAAAAGCAACGTACATGATATACATAGACTAAAAAACTAATTTCAGAACATGTCCGTGTATCGATCGATGAAAGTCCACGAAATCCCTATAAAATTGTCAGCTATGTTATATTTTAACATAATGCTATGTCACGATATGAAATGTCGCATCTTATTATATTATATGTCTTTGCCAGAACTTTCAAATAAAATAGGATTTTTCAGAAAATATACAATAGTTTTTCAAAAAATTGTTATTTACCGGACTCTGTAGTTCAGTCTTTATTTTAGGTCTATAGTTCCTTTTAGCTCAATAACGTGTGAGCTTGAACCCCCCGTTTTATGAATTTCATGGTAATTCAAAATTTTAATACGTTGTGAGGGAGGTAACAAAAGGAGTGGCCCGACTCCATCTTTACACCGGATCTTGTCTTGATAGAAATATTGGGATGTGTCGAGTTCACGTCTTATGAACTTAATTTTTATTCATGGGATGCACCAAACGAGAGTTGTCCATTCTTTTCATATCAGATCTTATGTTAGTAAAAATATTGAGATGAGCAAAATTTGATGAATTTTATTTTACCTCAGCCATATAGCTACAGAGGGTATATATCATTTGATACGGCCAATACGAGCCTAGTCGAATTAACGGTTTTAGACCCTAAGTCTCTTTTGGACCAAATCCTTTCAGCACATTTGGAGTCGATCAAGCGATGTACGTCCGTACGTCCGTCCGTCTATCTGGCTGGCTGGTGCGCACGATAACTCTCGAAGGGAGTATCCGATTTGATCCTAACTTGATACATCGTAATATATTTGTCAAACTTAGATCGAGTTCGGAGATGGGCAAGATCGGTCCACTCCTTCTGGTAACTCAACCACAAAAGATCGAAATTAAAAAAAAAATTGCATAGAAAGAGAAACGATAATCGAATTTTGCTCTAACTGTGCAAATCCTAATATTTGCTTCAGTTCTAGGTCAGGTGCGAAAATGGACAATATTGGTCCACTCCATTAAGTACCTCCCCTACATAGGATTAAAATGTTGAATAATTACAACTCTAATAAACTGTGATGTAAGAGTCGGATTGTTTAAAAATGTCACACTTTTAAATATTTTTTATTAATCCAAGGTCTGGTGTAAAGGCTGAATATATTCACACATCCCATTATTTCTACCAACACAAGATCACACACACAAACATTTTGGCTAAAACAAAATCTGTTGTGAAGATGATAAATATCTGCGATCCCCTACTGGTCAACATTTTCAATACTTTTATCTATCAAAACTTGCGAAAAAAGACAGCGATTTCTTATAACCTGTCATATCTAAATATTTCTCTCAACCAGAAACCTTAGATGAATATGGAATTTATGATTTCCAATTTTATATTGGATATAAATGTTCGATTTTCTAGTAATTTTGCCCATACCAATATTTTTATCTGTATTAGACGGATTATGAAAATGGATACTTCAGTCGATTCTACCTTCTAACTCACACACATTTTATTTTTTTTTCATAAATGATCACATACCTCATATATGGTGAAGGAAGTAACCAATGTAGTCCAAATCCGATACGAAATGGTCAATATTGGGCTATTCCTTCGGAACTTACACCATAGAGGGTCAACAATTTGAATGATCAAAACAGAAGTCAAAATATATTTAAATAATCGGAAATCCTTCGGAACTTACACCATAGAGGGTCAACAATTTGAATGATCAAAACAGAAGTCAAAATATATTTAAATAATCGAAAATTGGCTGAGGGTATACATTGGTCAGCAAAACCGACTGATACTTTTTAACTTGTTTTTATTTGCTTATACCTTTTTTCGAGTAGCTCTCAAGGAAAGAGGTCCCAAAGTGATCATTCACAACCTCTTCAAGAAATAATGCGATCCTTTTCACTTAAAAGATAAATTAATTCGTTGCTTGTGGGGAACATAGCGCCGTCTTGTTGAATTTATACTGCCCAACTATCCATTCGCCAGAACTGTTATTCCAATCTCATTTTCGAAAAAGTACAGTTCAATCACCCACCCCACCATTAACTGCATCAACTGGTACAGCCATTGACAACAACAATCAGTACATCATTTACCGAGACCCATAAGCGACAATTATGCTTGTTGACGTACCAGCGAGGTACGGGTATTATGTCTTTGTGCATTTGTTTGTAACACAGAGAAGGAAGTGAGTTAGACCCATAGTTCCTTTTGATGATCAGCATAGAATTACATTCTAAGTCGATTTATGTATGTCCGTCCATCCGTCTGTCCACGTATTTTTGTAAACAAAGTACACAGGTCGCATTTTTTGTCCGATCTATATAAAACTTTGTACAAAACATTTGTTTGGTTCAAGGACGAACCCTATTGAAATTGGAGCAAATCGGTCAAAATTTAGATATGCCTCCAATATATATCTTCGACCGATTTGCTTTATAAATTTCGGTCGGAAGTCGGACCAAGAGTTCCGACTTTCGGGATGTGTCTTTGAAATCCATGTCTCTCTTTCTCCCAAATTTACCACATACAAATGCCCAGTTTTGTACTGGTAAGGAAAAAATAAAAATAACGCCACAACTTTTTTACTAAATTCGATTTATAATCGTGAAAAAAAGATATGATATTTAGTTATCCAATTTCGAGAATATTTTTGTTTAATTCGAAAGATTTTCTGTACGACAAAGGCTATTATAATTTTGCGGGTTGTAATGGGCCCTTGAGAAAAAACATACCCCATTTAGCCGTACCATTGAAATTCCATGATAGAGGGTATACATTCTCAAATTTATTGGCTCCAATTAACATAATTCTTCAACAGATACTTTAAAGTAGTTCTGATAGTGAAATATCACAAATCGGATGAAGTTGTTATGACAATGCCTCTAATATGGATACGAATTTTAAATTGTATCTTATATCCTTACAACTATGTGTTTTCATCCACTTATTGTAAAATCTGCTCGTATTTCTTAACAATTGCAGGTTGTTCTCATCCTCATTAAAAAGAAATACCTAAATTGCATTAATATAAATGTACGAAGAATCGAGTTACTTAAATGGTATAATTTATATATTTATATACACAGAGACGTGTGTAGGTATGACATTCGAAAAAAATTCGAGGGAGTCTATGTGGTGAAACAGAACTTATTTTTTTCATACAAAAATTAAAATAAAATGTGAAGGAGGAGCCCGTGGCCCAGTGCCCCCCCCCCCCCCGCCCTTGCATACGTTCATGTATATGAATACAGGTTATTACAGCTGTTGCTCAAATCATTGAAAACCCCCTACATTCATTTCTAAAGGATACGTGAGACATTACAGGTGTTAAGATGACGTATGGGAGGAATAATGTCACTACGCATGCATTGGATTACAAAGTATGGCAATGCATTTTGCCATCTGACTTTTGAGACGACTTCATAGAATTTTTTTTCTAGCTTCGCTCTCGTGGAGAAAAAATTTCCAACTACAATGGATATAACTGAGGGAGAGAAAGATAGAAAAATAGCTCTTGAATAAAATAAAACAACAATCATTTGCCGTAACTTATTTAGTGTCTTCCAATTCCACTGTCTCCTCGCCACCACTTGAAGTGCATGAGAATTGTTAATTTATTTATACGGAGCAGAATATGAATTCGATTAACGTGAAATAAAGATGTGGCCACTTACTCGTGTAGTTGTATGAGTTAAACAATAACGTAACGAGAATTAGCTTGTTTTTGTAATGATGTCAAGGAAAGCGTAAAGCTAACGGCTTAACTTAGAACAATGTAAGAGTATAAATAAAGGAAATTTAAATTGATCAATTTATTTCCTTAATAAGTGTTTCTATGAGTACTTACATTTTATTTGATGGGGATCCAATTAGACTTTATCTGAAAAGAATAAGAAAATATTATTAATTAAGCCAAGGTCTCGCAGCAAAAATCTTCTTTTCATATTTGTAAAAAAATTTCTCGAGTTTGTCCTACTATGGTGAATAACAGCCTATAATTTGAAAGTTCCAACCTTTTTTATCTTCTTTTGTAAAAAAATCACCCGAATTATTTGTAATCAAAGGTGTATATTTTAGATTTGGTATGTATAAAAAGTTTCAAAACAGTCGGCCATCTCCACATATCGTTTATATGTCTCCTCATCATAAAGGGTGATTTTTCAATAGATAAAGAAAAGTTTCTCATGAATTTCTCATTTGAATCGATAGTATGGTCCATATAATTTAATGTTTGAAAATTATTTTATGCAAATGTTAACAGCAGCTGTGCCCCCAATGGTCCATTCCCTTAGCTCAATTTTGGCATACTCTTTCCAACATTTCGGCCGGTATCCCACGAAGTAATATTTCAAAGTTTTCTTGCAATAGATCAAGCAGACTTGTATGTATAGACATACGATGTAATATAGCTCCACATAAATATTCTAAAGGCGTTGAATCGCACGATCTAGACGGCCAATTGACCGGTACCGATTGCGATATAAAATGTTCACCGAACTCGCATCTCTATATGAGCATTGTGACACATATTGTGTGGTTTGAGGTACATTTCTATGGAAACCACACGTCTTGCATTTTGGGTAAAAAAAAATTTACTCACGGAACGCTCACCATTCAGAGGTAAAAAGCCATAAAAGAGCTTTGTCGCTGAACACAATTATTCGTTTTCTAAATTTTTTAAAAAAGCATGAATTTTGATGAAAAAATTCGATGAATGGTAAGTTCATTCATTCATCGTAATATTGAGATGTACCAAGTCTCGAAGTAATCGGATGTTAATTTCGTGTTTCATGAGCTTCATTGATATTTAAAATGTTGACCCTTTGTGGGGAAGGGACCAGAAGGAGTGGACCGATATATCCCATCTTCACACCAGACTTTGGGTTAATGAAAAATATTGTGCAATTTGAAGACAATGGGACTTTTGCATCACACGTTATAAGATTTACAATTACTCAAAATGTTGACCCTTTGTGAGGGTGGTAAATGATGGAGTGGACCTGTATTGCCCATTTTCGCACCTGACCTTGCATTGATCGAAATATTAGGATTTGCAAAGTTGGGGCAAAATCGGATTATCCTTTCTCTTTCTATTCAGTAAAATAATTTTTTGAAAATGTCGAAATTTTATCGGGGAGATAAAAGAAGGAGTGGATGGATATTGCCCGTCTCCGAACTCGATCTAAATTTGACAATTATACTACGATGTATCAAGTTTGGACCAAATATGTTATTTCTTCTAGAGTTATCGTGCGCACCAGCCAGACAGACCGACCGACGGATATCGCTAGATCGACTCCAAATGTCTTGAAACGGATTTGGTACAAAGATACATAGGGTCTGGTCTAAAACCTTTATTTCCATGAGACACGTTTTGGTCGTATCAAATGAAATACCCTATCTAGCCATAAGGTTGAAACATCATATCACACTTACAGTTTTGGAGAGTCTTTAGCTCAGTCGACGATATAACCGGGTTACAAATTCGTTAAATGCTTCCAAATATCGGAAATCTGGAGGATCCATTCTCACAGGCTACCCTCAATTGCGAAAATTAATTTTCAGTTCCCATTAATTCGGAAACTCTACATAATATAATGTGGCCACTATCTTGATTTGAACAGACTGATGAAGGTTGATTGAAGGACACCATCTCCATATATACTATATGGTGTCCCCGGCGTTTATCTCGAGATGTTTTTGTGTTGAACTTCAAAACAAAACTCTGTAGCTGGTACTAGCTATGATTAACATTTTTTAAACATATCAAACCTTATTTGTATCCTAATATGCTTTATCACTCCTATGAGCAACCGCAACCTGCCAGAAGTATTTTTAATCGAGGAACAAGAGAGACTGTTGCAAGCAAAGTTTCTGTCTAACTGGGTCGAATAAAAGCATAAACTAGCACTTAATATTTCCTAACAAAAATTATCTTCCAATTAAGCCCCCCAAAAATCTCAACTATTAGGGTGCACAATATATACGATAAGTACGTACACATTCGCATCATAAAATAACATAATCCCATTATTAACACAAGCCAACTAAATTCCAACAATTTGTTGGGAGGAAATTAATAATTTATTTAAACGTTCGTTCAACACACATTTTCGTTTTGTCATAAAGAGAGCCTATTCAACAAATTGCTGTGATTTCTTTTTTCTTTTCTACCCCCAAACGATTTTCGGTGGCAATATTGGTGCGGAGCGCGGGCTATTGGGATATTCTGTTATCCGGCAAATATCTTTGACATTTACCCCAACTAAATTTGCCGAAATACAGCAACAAATGCAAAGGACCCAAGTGGTTGACGAATCAACAGAAGCAAGCTAAACGATAAAGTGGATTTCCACAAAGTGTCAATTTCCATAAGCATAAATATTAATGACAATGGTCGGTGGGTCGGCGGGTATGTCGGTTGGATGGTGAAGGAGAGCAACAAAAAAAAAAGAAATGCTTGATATCACTACGATGATGATGACATTAGAGATTGTGATAGCACCAGAATTACTGCTGCCAATGGAAGCAGCGAGTTTTATAGCAGCACGTCAAGCGTTTATACAAATTCTGCCAACTTATCCAGATAATGGTGTAAAACCCCATTTCTGCATAGTACTTTTGTTATTCCTAAGTAAATATATGTATGTGTGTAATATGTACATGTGTATTCGCTATGCAAACAACAATGAGAAGGAGGGCGGGGTCACCACAACCAAAGCAATATTATGTGGCGGATAAGAATGAAAAATAGCCGGGAAAACGAGCATAAACGAATGACACCACATCCTCTTCCCCCCCTGTTTGGACGAATTGCCATAGTTATTCACTGTCAATGCTGCCACCAAGGCAAACAAACAACATCCTGCAGCTGTCAATTACTTGCAAGTTATGTCATTTTGATGTTCTTTATGATGAAGTTTACACAGTGTCACAAGTACGGAACTGACATGCAGGCAGAATGCTTTCAGCTTGAATCGCAGCCATAGTGTAAATATATTTACTGTGTTGTGCAAAAGCTGCATCAGCTTTATTTATTTGCACATTCCATATTGATGTGGTTTGGATTTTTTTTCAGAATCATCATTTTGAAATGTTTCACCAAAAAAAAAAAATCTTTCAAAGTCTTTTGGTAGGATTATATTAAGTACATTTTTGTCCTAATGTTTAACCAAAAATTCAGTCGTATAATTTACCCAAAATCGTAAGAACATATGGGAGCTTTATCTCGATCTGAACCGATTTTCAAATTTTTATAAAACATTTCTGTTTCCACTATTTCTACATCTAGTTTGTTACGCGGTTAAGGTGAAGTAGTTTACAAAAGGGTGTCTTTTTAAGCTAGATAGAACTTTAAATGGCCAAAAGTAACACAAAAAAATTAAATGTTGAAAAAACTTTTTTTATTTGTTTTAGTATATTCTGACAAATCATTATAAATGAAAATCAGGCTCTAGAGCAGTTGGCAAATGACCCGTTGTTTTATCGCAAAATTGTGTTCAGCGATGAGGCGCATTTTTTTGCTTAACGGGTTTGTTAATAGCAAAATTGCCGCATATGGAGTGAAAACAATCCACAAGAGACCCTACAGACTCCATTACATCCTGAAAAATGCTCCGTATGGTGTGGTTTTCACGCTGGTGACATGCGTTAAGGTCAATGGAGATCGTTACCGCACAATGATCAAAGATTTTTGGTTTAAAAATATGGATGACATTGATCCGGAGGAGATGTGGTTTCAACAGGATGGCGCACATACACATACGCAACCATCGAAATTTGGCGATAAGTTGATTTCGAGAAGTAGACCCGTCAATTGGCCTCCAAGGTCGTGTGATATGACACCTTTCGATTATTTCCTGTGGGGCTACGTGAAGTCTATGGTTTATGCTGATAAACCAGCAACAATTGACGCCTTGGAGGACAGCATTGTTCGTGTTATTCGTGACATACGGCCAGCAGTGCTCGAAAAAGTGGCCAAAAATTGTACGTCCAGAATGCACTTCGTCAAGAACAGCCGCGGTGCCCATATGCCCGAAATCATTTTCAAATGTTAATGTCACGTATTGATCTTTCGAATAAAAAAAATTGATTAAAATTAATTTTTTTGTGTTATGTTTTACAATTTCAAGTTATATCAGGCTTAAAAAAACACCCTTTAGAAGAATGATTCGTTTGCAATCAAAGTGTCAACTTGATCAAATGTAATACAATTGTTTATAATTTCTTTTTATAATTATACATGATAAATCGCCCAAATATACACAACAACCTTACGAGTTACAGATCTAGTATAAGGGAAGTTTTATTGTCGGCAGTTGTAATACCTTCGATTTAATCCCTTGATTGCTGCTACGAATAGCTCGCTTCCGAGACCTATTGCGCGACTGATTCGATTTTTTCGGCATGCTTACCTCATACGAGGTTAGAGCGAAAAATCTCTTTAGGGCTGGTATAAATCGAACATCGTCGATCCGATTGCATCAACGAAGTGCCACCTAGTTGGTTGATACAATTCGAGAATCATCAAGCCGACGTAAAAAATGGTTTGAATCGGTTCACCAAGTGGTGCCTCCAAAATTGGGAATTTGTGTCGAAACGTAAACAACGCTTTATTATATTTTATTAGTTCGAATAACATCGAGCAAACAGCATTAACCCACATACCATAGAGGCACTCAATCAGCACAGTCAACAGTCTCTTCGGACCAAATCCGTTTTAGGATATTTGAAGTCGATCTAGGGTATCGATCTTTCTGTCTATTTCAAAATTTGCATCAATCCACTCCGGGAGGTCAAAAATGTCAAAGAAAATATTTTACTACACAAGAAGAAAAAGGATCTTTCAATCTTGTTAAAACTTTGCGATTTTGTTCAAAC